ATGATATTATTAAAAATTATTAATTAACTTGATAATTTATTAATAAAATTGATCAATTATTACATGATTAGAATTGAAAGAGCGTGATATAATTTTCAGAATTAGAGGACATGATTCATATTTGAAGTAAATTTCAAAAAATATATTTATAATTTATCTTAAATTAATTATAGAATCAAATACAATTATCTTATATATATATATTTTTTTTTTGTAGATCTCACCATCACGTGAAAATGTTATATTCAATAATGTGACTAGTTTATGTATAAACAGAAGTGTAATCTACAAAGTAATAAAGGACGATGATTACAAATCAAATCACTGACCTAAATTGACCCATGAGACTGTGAGTTGTTCTTTCAATATTATTGTCACCTTAATGAATGAGGGGTCCCTTACACAAGACTCTTAGGTACTCACCAAGTCATGCATGATTAGCTAATTCAAAATGGACTTGTCGAGTTGGTATTTAGACTTGGAAAAGTTGGTAATAGTCATCTCTTGTAGTAGATTACCACTCGTCTTCCATGAAGTCCCCAAAAGGACTACATTATTGCATGAAGAAAAAATGTGGCCCTCTATTGTCTTTTCTCTATTATTGGTGCTACAAATTTTATTTTATTTTTTTTAAATTTTCTTTTTCATTAGCTAAGAAATAATTTATCAAATATCATGTGCAAGGTCAACTCGATAGCTAGGTAGACAAAGCCATCGCTTTAAGCTCCCGATTTTGGAAGGCAGATTCTCATTGTTCAGGTCTTAAAAAAAAATAAAAATTTATCTATTTTTTTTTAAAAGAAACTTATTATTATTAGTTGGTCATTTATGTACACTATCAACTGTGTAATCGTAGACAATCCTTGCCAAAAGCATAATCAATTAGTGTTTTTGAAAAAATTATCAATAAGTCTTATTTTACTTTCAAGATTACTATTGAATCCTATCAAATTTCATTATAAAGAATTAGGTTTTATTTTTTTGGAGAATTGACCAGTAAATCTTATTTTGTGGACTTGTAATCCATAAGGTCCTGAATGTTTTCTTGGTGACTGGATGGTCCCTTAATTTGTTTGTTGACAATTTTGCCACTGCTAGTATTATTGATTGACATTTGGTGTGGGTTTGTATGGGAGAAGGTGAATGGGTGTTTGTGTGTCACGTTGATCAAAAAAGCACACTAATACTTTTTTAATTTAGTAAATGTGTAACACTCACAACATGAGACGTGGGTTGTGACGTGAACACAAGTAATTTGACACAATTTTTTTTTTTTTTTTTTTTTGTCCCCAAGCATTCCTTCCGAGTACTTGTTCGTCAAATAGCTCCTCAGAGCTTCTATCACAGCCCGACACACAAAATTCTCTGAAGCTATCAATTCAATCCCTTTGAATTGCCTCCGCTTTTCCTTCTCTATAATCCAAAAAACATCCGGGTCTGCAACGCAGAGCGGCTGATTATCCCAAGCCCGCACTGCACTCCGTCGCGATTCGAGACCTTGAGGCTCGAACCGCTCGATCGAAACCCGTTTCGAAGACGAAGAACACGATGCCACCGATTCTCCATCCCTCCTCCTCTTCAGAAACATCGAATGCCCCAGAATTCGAAACTCCTCATCATCCCCACTCTCTCCCTCCTCAATCTCGTTCTCATGCTTTTGATGCTGATCCATCAACTGCAGCGGAATCGACGGCACATGATGAGAGGGGCCGCAGAAACCCGAGTCGATCTGGAAGGAGATCAAGTCGTCGACGATTTGAGAACGGCGAGAAGTAGGCGTAAAAGTGTGAGAGTGAAACCCTAGAGACAGATTCGATTGCGAGTGTGTCAAATCCATAACTACCAATCAATCAAAACCCAAACCCTAACCCTAGCTGAATTGAAATTCAAGGTTCAGAACAGCAATAGCAACAGCAACAGAAACAGTGACAACAGCGTCTGAAGCAATTACAGTACCAGTATCGGAAATTGGATCGTCCTCCTGAGGTTGTTGAGTGCGTGGCCGAAGCTTCCATGGAACTCTCGGTAAAACCCTAACCCCCAATATACATTACAGATACTTGTGCAGGATATGTATGTACATACGTTGAGAGAGAGAGGTGGTTGGGGAGGAGAGAGAAAAGGAAGGTTGGGTGGGTCGGTAGGTAGATAGAGAGAGAGAGAGACAATTTGACGAAGACGGTTAGATTTATTTTTTCTCTCTCTTTTTAAGATTCATGGTTAGATTCGTTTTGGGATGCACCTGGACGAATATATACACTTTCATTCTATATGATGGTTTGTGCATTTATGATTCCTATTGCGGAAGATGATTCGTAATAGAACCCAATTTCTTTAGATTCAACAAATTTATATTTAAAAAAAAAAAATGTGTTCAACCCATGAACCTAATTTCACATTCAGGTTTTAATTTTTCCAATTCAGATTCAGATATTTTCCCCAACTCGCATTCAAGAAATTTAAAAACAAAAAAAAATAATAATTTCGCAACCTGAAACACAATTCTAATTTTTTGTTTGCTCAATCAAAACCCTAATTTTTCCATGTGTGTGTGTGTGTGTGTGTGTGTGAGAGAGAGAGAGAGAGAGAGATAGAGACCTTAAACAGAGTGGTAGCATAAATAATGTAGTTCCTCATCCTTTCCTAAGTGGTTATACGAATCTCATTCTTAATCGGCGTCTTTGGCCACGGTTTCTCTACCCTCTGATACCGATCCATCTAAACACAACAAACCCAAAATCAAAAACACAATGTTTTCTCCAAAAAATCAAAAACACAACAAGAACACAACAAAAGGGTACACAAAAATTAGATCTGAAGAAGGGAATAGGAAGAGGGGTAACCGTGATGAGTGTTGAGTGAGTTCGGAACGGGTAAAAGGTAACGGAAGTCTCTGAAAACCAGCTCTCGCCTTTTGCTAGTCTCCATGGCAGCTCTGGATCGATGAATTGGATGAGAGAAGAGCCATGGCCGTTGTGGGTTGTAGAGAGAGAAATTGGAGGAGAGAGTGAGAGAGAGTGAGAATATGATTTAAGGGTTTGAAATGGAAGTGTGGTGGAGGAGTAGAGATTTAGGGTTTAAAATGGAAGAGTGTGGTGGAGTAGAGAGTAGTAGTAACTTCTGCAGATCACTGAGCTTTTAGCATTCGTATAGAGAGAGACAACTACGCCAATTCGAAGATTATTTCATTTTACATTGGCGCCAGAGTATTTTACTTTTGGCGCCTATTTTTATTTTGGTCATATTATTCACGACAGGAATTACATGTCCTAAAAAGTAAAATATTTTTAACAGTTAGTATATGTGCATCGTGAAAAGTATATTTTTTAATTATTGACTTTTTGTGTGCCGTAAAAAGTGTAATATTTTTAACGACTGACTTTTTGTGCACCGTAAAATGTTTAATATTTTTAACAACTGGTATCCGTGTTGTATCAATCAGTTAAAAAAAAACAATAACAAAATGAATAAACAATAAGAACAATGATAAATAATCTGCCAATTACACTGTGAATCTCCCTCGCACCACATTTTCCAGAATAAGTGTAAGTGTTGGTACAGTGTCTGTGTAAATGCATATCTATATATATACATACAGCCTAATATATATAATCTAGGGTTTTAATAAATCGTGTCTCTATGACGATATTTGTCGTATATTTGCAAATACCTGGTTTCAACATATTAGAGGAGGAACAACAAAAAAATATTTTCATTGCAGAGACATGTATTCGGATTCAACATAACGAGTGAACATTTTTCAGCTAATAAAAGTCAATGGCAAGAGGAAATAGTGGAATGACAGAAGAGAATGTTACCTGGATAAAACAGAGAGAGAGAGAGAGAGAGACTGCGAGCTGTGCAATGGCGAACGGCTAGGGCTCGTTTGCCCTTTTGGCTGCTCCTCCGCCGCTCGCCATCGATTGAGAGAGGGGGGGTAAGAAGAGATTAGGGATTTTTGGGTTTGAGATTGGGGATTTTTTGTTTGGGGGGGTGATGAGCGCGAATGGGGAAAAAAAAAGGTGGGGAAGGGAGCGGGAATGAAAAACAAAAACGGGCGGGAATAAAAAATAAATTTTTTTTTTTTGGTTAGAAATGAAATTTAAATAATAAAATAATGTCATTTAATTTTTTTTTTTTTTTTTTTTGGCGACGGGGTTGCCGTTGTCAAAAAAATTTATTTTTTGTTAAAATATATATTTTTTAGGTAATGGTAGTAGTGGTGGCAGTAGTGGTAAAGGTTGTGGATAAGAGATGATGGTGGTGGTGGTGGTGGTGGCGGCGGCGGCGGCGGCGAAGGGGATTAGTGGTGAAGTTATGGTAGTGGTAGAGTAGATGAAGTGGCAAGGGTGAATGAGAGGTAATGGTAGTAGTAGTGGCAGTAGTAGTGAAGGCGGTGGTGGCGGCGGTGGCGAAGGAGATTAGTGGTGAAGTTGTGGTAGTGGTAGAGTAGATGAAGTGGCAAGGGTGAAGGAGAGGTAATGGTAGTAGTAGTGGTAGTAGTGGTGAAGGTGGTGGTGGCGGCGGTGGCGAAAGAGATTAGTGGTGAAGTTGTGGTAGCGATAGAGTAGATGAAATGGCAAGGGTGAAGGAGGGGTAATGGTAGTAGTAGTGGTAGTGGTGGCAATGGTAGTCGTAGAGGTGAAGTGGTGACAGTGGTAGTAATGGTGGTAGTAGAATGACGTTTGCAGTAGTGGTGGAGGAGGTAAAGGAGATGGGTGGTGAGAGAGAGAGAAATGAGTGAGAGACACATAGAGGAGAGAAAGAGAGAGAGAGAGAGAGAGAGAGAGAAAGACAGAGTGATGAGCGAGAGAGAGACAAAGTGGTCGCTAAAAGTGCATTTTCTTGTAGTGGATAGATAAATCGAGAGAGAGATCAGTAAATAGAGAAGACAGAAGGGAGAGAGTGAGCAACGCGAACATAGTGGCAGAGAGAGAGAAAGAGAAAGAGAAGAGAGAGAGAGGGACAAAAAGATAAAGAGATAGAGAGTGAGAGAGAGATAAAGAGAAGAGTGATGAGCGAGAGAGACATAGACAGAAGAGAGATGATCGAGAGAGACAGAGAGAGATGAAAGAGATAGAGAGAAGAGAGATGAGCGAAAGAGACAGGGAGAGAAAAGAGATGAGAGAAGAGATAGATGAGTGAGAGACACAGAGAGAAAGAGACAGATAGACAGAAAGAAAAGAGTGATGAGTGAGAGAGAGAAAGAGAAGAGAGAGAGGAAGATGAAAAAATGGGTGCAAAGATATAGACAAAGAGAGAGAGAGAGAGAGAGAGAGAGAGAGAGAGAGAAAAAGAGCGAAAAGAGATAAACGAGAGAGAGACAGAGAGAGATGAGCGAGAGAGATAAAGAGAAGAGAGATTGACAAGAGAGACAGAGAGAGATGAGAGAGATAGACAGAAGAGAGATAGACGAGAGACACAGAGAGAAAGAGAGACAGACAGACAGACAAAGAAGAGTGATGAGTGAGAGAGAAAAAAATAAGAGAGACAGAGACACAGAGAGAAAGAGAAAGACAGACAGACAGAGAAGAGTGATGAGTGAGAGAGAAAAAAATAAGAGACACAGAGAACAGAGAGAGATAGACAGACAGAGAAGAGTAATGAGTGAGTGAGAGAGAGAGAGAGAAGAAAGACAGAGACAGAAAGATAGGAAGATGAAAAAATGGGTGAAAAAGTTCCGTGTCTAAAGCCTTCTTTTCTAGTAGTGAGTCGTCTCTATCATTCATGGGTAGAATAGAGGCGCGAATTTGGGAATTGTATATTTTATATAAAAATCAAATTGAAATATTTTATGCAATCACAACTATTTAGGGAGTGTGATTAAATATATATATAATTACACTTATTTAAAAAGTGTGATTAAAAAGTAGTAATGTATATATAATCACACTTTAATTAGAATGTGTGGTTAAAAAATATCTATATAATCACACCTATTTAAAAAGTGTGATTAAAAAGTAGTAGTGTATATATAATCACACTTTAATTAAAATGTGTGATTAAAAAAATATACATATAATCACACTTAATTGAAAAGTGACATAAAAAATAAATATTATCACACTCAATCAAAGTAAGTGTGATTAAAATATCAATCTAATTTTTTTTATCACACTTCCAAAAAAAGTGAGATCTTTTTTTTTGTCAAAGTGTGATCTTTAACTATTTTTGTAGTAGTG